CTTATTGCTGTCAGTAAGATGAATAGATAATCAGGTGTATATGTTTTATGGCTGTTATAGCTTTGTGTTTTTTTTACACATTTTTATTTTAGATAACTTTCCTTGCAAAAATGTAAACAATCTGTTATAAATCCTGAATACAAGTTTCACTCTCTGACTCGCATGTATTGTGCTTATTTAACTATATTCATGCATATTCATTAAATGTCATTGCAAGCTCAAAACTTGAGCATACTTAAGCATTGTTTTGTTTTCTGTTTTCACATTAGCAAATTACCTTATTATTGCAGCAGCTTAAATGAATCCTATATCTGAAAGTAACAAGTGTGTTATTTTGATTATTTCTGACACTTTAAAGAGCAGAGTTTGGTGCTGTATAGAAGTACTTTCTCATAACAAATATTTGGACATGACCTAGAAAACACTTGTCATTTTGAAGGCCATACTTAATGCCGCTCACAGTTGTAAGGATCATCATTACTGTCAGCCACCCAGCAGGATATTGCAGCGGAAATACTTCTGTGCTCTGGATGCGTCATTGAGCCCAAGGTCATGGCGCTGTTTCTCCTTGACAGCCTGGTAATGAGAGTGAGTGAATAGATGTGCCTTATTTTTGTTTCTGCCTTCTGGATGATTTGCGGGGAAATGAAAGGATGTTTTGACACTTAAAGTGTATTGGAAAACATAAGAATACAGATGGATAAAATGACAATTCATCCAAGGGAAAATTGTACCAGCAACACAGCTGGGACAGGAATGGGAAGTACTCGAATAAACTATAGGAATATTTACAATACTATTTTAAAGCTTAAAGGCGAATATCTAAAATTGCACATGTGGGAAAAGTACTCAGATTTTGTACAAAAAGAATAAAAGTATAAAGTATAAAAGTAGAATTATCCAATTGTATAGGAATACTCTCAAGTAAAAGTCCTGCATTCAAAAGGTTACTCAAGTAAAAGTACAAAAGCATTGGCATCAAAATATACTTAGTAAAGTACTCCTGCAGAATGGTCCATTTCAGAATAATATATATTATATGTTTTGATTATAATTATTAATGAATTAAAGTGTTTATCAAAGCTGGTAAAGGTGCAGCTAGTTTTAATGACGTTATATACAGTACTGCAGGGTAGCTTGTGAATTTACTCCTGGTGTAACTTGAGTCTTATTTAAATGTTGTTTATATTTCACATCATTAATCCAAATCTGTAAAGTAACTAAGGAGGTCCCAGTTCATCTCCTGCCCTGCCGTTGTGCCCTTGAGCAAGGCCGGACATCCCCCTTCCCCCCTCACTCCCATTGCTCCCCGGGCGCTGTACAATAGCTGCCCACTGCTCCTAGTACTAGACTCCTGGTACTAGGATGGGTTAAAAGCAGAGAACACATTTCACGGTGTGTGCTGTGTGCTCTGCATGTGTGACCATTAAAAAGGGTCTCATCCCCAATTATTCTATTCTAAATACATGTAGTGGAGTAAAAGTACACGATTTACCTCTGAATTGTATTGGAGTAGAGGTACAAAGTATCAAATATCAAGTAAAGTAAAGTACCTCCACATTGTTGAATAGCTGAAGAGTGAATGGACAGTTATGAGTCAATGAGAATAAACCTTGACCATTGTTTGGGTCACAGCAAGTTGAAGGGTGTAATCAACCACAAGATGTCACTGTGTAACTATGCACACGCTGCACTACAGAGTGCGCAAACAATTCCATTTTGTATGATAAATGATAACATGTATAACGTTTCTTTCATGTTAGTTTTTTTTCTACAGAAAAGGTATAATGTGTTTTGTGACCTGGTAATTAAAACAAAACTTTAACGTCATGTTTAAATTAGCTTTTCCACCAACATTGGAATTTATGTTATGAGACGTATCCAAATCAATTGAAAAGTTATGTTCCTGAACATCTAGTTCCGTGACCATGCTCCTCTGAGACTACTCTCTGGAGCTATATCAGGGTCATACGTGTTGATCATTCAAAAAAAATACAATTTATTTGAAAATTCAAGTTTTTATCCTGAACTTTGAAAAATACAATGATGTATTCAAAATCAAAATAAGTATTTGAAATAATTTTTCAGGTTGAATATTATTTTGATTCAGTTCAGCCATTTCTTTGAATAAAATATTTATTTTCATATTTCACATTTATGCATGTTTTGATATTTGAATCATTTGAATTATTTTTTAAGATTGACAAACATCATATGTGTAATTCATGGCACAATTCAAACGGGATCGAGTTTTCTCTCCATTGACTTCAATACATCATTTTTCAGAAAGGTCCCATGGGGCGGAAGTATGGGCGTTACAGGATGTGTATTTTGTAAATTGTATTTTAATTAGGGCTGTCAAGTTAACTCGTTAATAACGCGTTAACGCAAAAAAAAAATCAACGCCACTAATTATTTTAACGCGATTAACGCATGTGTATTTTTTTTCCTCGGCCGCCCCGTAGTTTCAGAGAGCATCATTAAAATACATTCTACAAGCTGATGCTGACAGCCACGCTCCTGCCGTCCGCTTGCAGCAGACCACACTTCCACGCTCACCGGCAGGCACTGACTGGCTATTGGGAGGACCGGGAGGGTGTGTGTATGTGTGGCCCGAGCGAGCGAGAGAGAGACCTTACGTGCGTTGTTGTTGTTAGCATCTGGTGCTAGCTAGCTGCGCTAACGGATATAAGGAGCTGTTTAAATGAAAACAGAGGAGCGACATTTCGCCACAACTGCGCCGAGCACTTGACTTTATGCAGGAAGCCAGACAGTGGGACATTGTACGAAAAGTCAGCACACTAAACTGGTCAGACTACTGCTTGACCTTTCATCTAGAACCCACCTGACCTCTGCCCACTTTGACAACCTAGGATGGCTTAGAGTAGACGACAGAGTACAGCTACTTGCAATGGGCCTGGTCTACAAGATCCACTACACCTCTATGGTACCCATGTACATGTCAAAATTCTTCCCAAAGGTCAAGGAATACCATGATCATAACACCAGAGGGAGCTCCACAAATCATGTGAAACCCAGATTTGGCACAAAAAAGGGGGAATACACGTTTCGCAATTATGCCACATCAAGGTGGAACGCTCTTCCCACAACTGTAAAGGAAAGTAAAACTATACTTACCTTCAAAACCTCTCTTAAAGAGCACCTTCGGGTGAGAGCATTGCAAAACTGGCCCCGGTAATGGTACAAATCTCAACCTGTCGTTCAATGGACAGCTTCCCCCCCCCCCCCATCTATGTATATACTCGCATTTTAGACTCTGTTACTAACTGTATATCTGTAGACTTGGTATGTCTTAAATGTCCGGTTAGGATGTATTAGAACGAAATCTAAAATTAAAATTGTAAATAAGCAATCTGTATGTAAAAAACCACCTGTATGTAAATTGTAAATAAGCCATCTGTATGTCTTATATGTCTTATATGTCTTAAATGATATGATGAATTGGAAATGGGGGACCCTGATGTAAACAAGACGAAAGTCTTTCTCTGGTCTGCATCCCCTTAACAATTGTATGTTTTGAGCTGTACTGTACTGTACCCACTATACAAGCTGTTAATAAACTTTTCAATCAATCAATCAATCAACTCAGCACGATAGTGCGCAACATGATTGCAGCGTCCAGGCAGCTCCAGTTGGAGCATATGCCTTGAGTTGCACATAGCTCCAACGATCCATCACACACACACACACACACACACACACACACACACACACACACACACACACACACACACACACACACAACACACACACACACACACCATTTGTATTGTATGAGAGAGGTTCCAGGTTGAATTGAGGCGAATATTTGTAATGTTCAGAGGTTGTTGTGTTTAATATTCATGAGAATATTTGTCATTGTTCAAATGATAATAAACATTAGCATAAAGCATATTTGTCCACTCATATGTTGATAAGAGTATTAAAAACTTGAAAAATATTCCTCGAAGGTACATTTAGAACAGATAAAAATGTGCGATTAATTTGCGATTAATCGCGATTAACTATGGACAATCATGCGATTAATCGCGATTAAATATTTTAATCGACTGACAGCCCTAATTTTAATACAATGTTATGCATGTAAAATTATGTAACATAATGTAACATTAAGCTGTATGTGGCTGTTTTTCTGCTGTAACAACGTACGTTTCCCCTCTGTGGGACTAATAAAGGTATTCTGATTCTGAACTATACGATGCTCAACAGCTCGCTTAACGGAACTTTGACGCTGGTATCAGTTTTACCTCCAATCACGGGAGTATTGTGTATAGAAAGCGTCGAGTTATATTTCTCGCGCTACCTAACATCCATGAAGGCAACATGACAGAGGGAGGCCTGTCACTCAGGATGCCAAACTACTCTTTTGTAAGCCACGCCCCCAAGCAACATCAGGGCCAAAAGTTTGAAAGCGAAAAAATATATATCTGAAGCATAGATCTGAAGTCGAAAAAAAATGTGAAACCTGAAAAAACAAGATTTGAAACCTGAACAAATTATTGTTTTGAATCTGAAAAGGTAAAATCTCCAACTGAAAAAAATAAGGATTCAAATATCAAAATATGTATAACAGTGAAATGTGAAAATAATATTTTATTCAAAAAAATTGCTGAACTGAATCAAAAATAATATTCAACCTGAACAATTATTTAAAATAGGCTACTTGTTTTTATTTTGAATGCATCATTGTGTTTTTCAAAGTTAAGGAACTTGAACTTTCAAATAAATTGTATTTTTTTGAAAGATCCAAACGTATGACCCTGATATAGCTCCATACTACTCACGCACAGCACACAACGAATTTAATTGGGGTCAGACTGACAATATTAGCGAATGCAAAAAAGGGTAGGCCTACATCGCCCACTGCAGTGTGCAAATGGCATTACGCGTAACCACGCCACACCAGTTGGTAGGAGTGTTAAGGTGAGGGTGTGTTAAGCCAAGTGTTTTGGTAAATCCGCTACTTCGATGAGCGTCAAACGAGAGAAGGGCCTGGTACACAGTGCGCCCAGCGGACTATGCCTTCCCCTACTCGGGAGGAAAGCAAAGGGGAGACCGGACAGGCAGAGCACGGAGCGACGGACAGCGGCGACAGGGAGAGAGGGACAGGCAACCGCCTCGCATGCGCTTTGGAGATGGAGATGACAACCCGCAGTCTGCACGGCGACTCCAAACTGGACAGTGTGAATTGCGATGGCTTGATCAACCGAAACGGAGGAGACTCCGCAGAAGTGTCCGTGCCGCTGTCACTTCCCGGGAAGCGGACAGCTCACATGGAGGGAGACGACCTCTACAGACTGCGAGACAGAAAGTTTTTATTAGAGGATAAAAAGCGACTTTGTGCATTGGCTCTGGGGACTGCTCTACTCGGGATACTTCTCACAATAATCCACGCCGAGATATGTCCCCTCGTTTATACACCGGTAGGTTATTTTAACACGGACCTCATCATGACTTAACTGCACAACATAATCATATTATTAGATTGTAAATGTTTGAAATGTGACACTTGTTGTTGGCATATTTGATCTTAAAGCCATAGCCTTGCAGCATGTTAGCCCATCCCGGTTTTCACTGAAAATGTCAATCTCACAAATCAAAATGTATGAGTGACATATTACACTCTCTGCAAGCATTTCCATGGATAGATGAACGTATAGCGTCCATGTTCATCTACATTTACAAAGTACTATAATTAAAAAAACATTACCTACATTTGTATCCTACTTTGTGTTGTCAGCTGGTCGAGACACTTTGGTGTTGGTCCTTGAACGCATCATCAAACGATAGAATATCTAGAATATCATCAGTGGATAGAAAAACTATTAACAATTGGTCTGCTTCTTCAAATCTCCTCTTATCCAACTCCTGGTGTCGCAGTTACAACTCTTTTAAATAGTTTTTTACTTATAATTTTTATAGAATGGATACAAATAAATGAATAGGCCTACATTCATATTTAAACATGCATCTTTTATTCACAATATATTTCAGAAACGTAATTGATCATAAATGATGCTGAAAACCCCCTCACACAACTGGCTGTATTTGTTATCATAACAACTTCCTTGATTAGCAGAGCCTCATGCAGCACAACAGCAGAGCCTGCACCTGGGCTTTGACCCCCACTGACCTGCTGATTAGTTAGTCCATTTCCAGACACACTACTTGGTAGCACAGCCTCATGACATTAACATGAAGATCTCAGTGGATAACAATGCCAGGCCACACAATCAACAAATTATTAACTCCCCTGACTTCCTACAGCACACGCCAATTCCACATGTGGAAAAAAGTTCTCATGCACGCCACAAAATACATCAGACCACCTCCGTGCTGTGAAGTCAGTGATTGATTACAGTGTCAAAGAGCCCCCACATTCATCAGCTACAATCTTTTGAAAAAACCTATGGAAATGACCTTCCGTGTTGAGAGAGTTGGACTGGGAGAAGCATGGTTGTGAAATTAACGGCGCTGGTACGAATATGACATTACTATTCCAGTTTACAAATACGAACTAAGAACAGGTGTTGTCTGTCTGTTCCTAACAACAGGCATCAGCTTCTGTACCATGGAAAAGCTGATGCACTGGAAAAAGTTGTCTTTGCCGCAGTCAAAGCATATTATTTTGGAGAGGCAGCGTTTATTTTTTAACCATGGCCTTATATAACTGTTTTTAGCATTCATCTATAAACTTCATGTGATGTCATTAAGTCATGAGTGTGAGCTGTGAGATCTTTCTCCCCTGTGGACTGACATATAGAGGCTGTTTAAAAAAATACGGCATCCCTGCAGTGGCCTGAAGCACACTACAGCATTATTGTTTTTTCTTTTCAAAGCCCATTTTAAGTGCACTGCAGAATTTTTTGGAGCTTGTAGGCCAATCAAATCTAACAGCAGTCTACAAACAAAGTGATATATTTAAATTACCTTTTAATAGTTATGCATGAAAAACAGGGGTATTTATGGAAACATTTCCACATTTCACCTCTTCCCCTACAACGAGAATGCTCACGGTACTTCGGGCTATCTTTCCACATCATTTAGTGTATAATTAGAGTGTTTGCATGGCCGGTCTGAAGGTCTCTCTGTCTTGAGTTTGACTGCGCTACAGCCTGGAGTGTGCTCACTTTTACCTGAATGCAACCATGTGTCCTTTTTTTTTTACAACTCCTCAACAACATTTCTGGGATGACATAACACATCAAACAATATCCACATATTGAGACGTCCTGTTTTAAAGGTGGGGTAGGTAATTTTGGAGAAACCAGCTCGAGTGCGCTAGAATTTGAAAATACACAGCCGGGGGGGGGGGGGGGGGGGCTTTTTGTGACATGCAACAACATTAACCTTTCTGTTGGTCGAGCAGACCGTCCATACGATGGCAGAGCAAACAGGGCCCATAGTGAGAGCCCTATAGTTAAAATCTACTACCCACAAATAAACATATGGGCATGGGTTACTATTTTTTTTAAAAATGGTAAATGTATTTAGGAACCTATCCATGTGATTTTAAGTGGGGGTGGACCTCAAATCCTCTAGGGGGGTCCGGGGGCATGCTCCCCCAGTAAGATTTTTTTTTAATTTTAGAGTTAAATGCATCAATCTGGTGCACTTTGAGGGGAAAATAAAGAGACTAGATATATGGGAACACCTATATGAAACAGAACTGTATACATTTCAATAATCATAAAATCGTGGCAATAACCAATAACATACCATATCCAATATGAAAAAACACTGACACCCTCAAATGGAAATATGTGTTTACATGAATGGTGACCAAACCGTTTGAGACCCACTGAGAACTTAGACTAAGTTAACTATCTAAACACTCAGAGAGTCCTTTACCTCACCTGAGCTGAGGTTATCCCGAGCTTGAATGACACAGAGAGACCAATCAACGGCTTTGATGTATGATCTGTATGACAGTGGCCATGTCGGCAGGCCACATCATGTAGACGGCCAATCACCCTGTGTGAGGCAGGCCACTTAACAGGCCAGGCCATCGGGTTCTCCCGATGGCCTGGCCTGACTGGGTACAGGAGGCGTAGAGCGAGGGATCATTGTCCACAATTTAATCGATCGCAGATGGCGTTGTGGTTGCGGACGAAAAAAAAAAGAAAAACAAAATGTATAAAGAAAAAAAGAAAACCTAAATGGGTCGTGAAATATACTTGGGTGGCCGTTAATATACCTGGGCGGCCCGCCCAAGTATAGTCTATGTGTGGGAAACCATGGTAGGTAAGTTTGAGAAAAATAAAAGCAGCTTAGTGGAATTCAGCCATCATTAATTTCCTTTTTTAGATCTGTGTTTTTCTTATCATGGCAAGTCAAAAGTCCAGATTTCTGGGAGGGGTGATGAGACTCTGTATCTGACCGTTAAGATGAAAAGCAGCAGTAATTAGAGGACCAGGATGGCCTGTTTAACAGCGTGCAATGAAGTGCCCTACTCACCTTGGGTTTTAGGACAAGTGATCTGCAGGCTTTTGTTGTCTCTGACAGCTTATCAGCCACACCTGTCCTGTATAGTGTCTACCTCTTCAGGGCTTTAATTCAAACAAAAATACATACAGTAGGTATTACCAAATAGTTTTTTCAAGTTACCCTTTATCACACTAACACGTGTTTTTGTTTGGTATTAACAAGACCTGCAAAGGTTGTACGCGCTGTGTATCTCCTTTCCTATGACTGCCCAGCCACACCACACAAATAGTCTTGTAGGATATTGTCTTAGCCTTTCCTTAAGTGAATTACAGGATACCTCAACCTTCACGAGCACAATAATCTACATGAAAGCTAATGGAACCACACCAACTAACAAACCAAATAAGAACACTTTAGTCAGATGTATGTAGTATTTCTTTGGTAAATATTTATTCAGTTCAGTTCTTACGAACCAGACCACCTTCTATTGCACTGGATTTCGTTTTTTTTTCTTCTATGCCTTGGGTGGCCTGAACTGACGGTGGCTCAATGTCTGTCCAAGAATATGAGAAAACTGAAACTGTGTTAAGGTTAACCCAGATTAGGTTCACTGGGCTCTAAATAACAGTTTTCAACATGTTGTTGAAATCTCTGTTATGGAGTGTGGTGAAATGTTGAACTTTTGTGGGGTCTTTTAATTAGCCCTGGACGAAATACAGACATGATGTGAACGTTACGTGAGAAACTGGAAAATGGCGTACTTTGCCAATGGGCGTCACACCAAACCACCTACACGCTCAAGTTTCCTCAAGTTCGAAAGTTTGTAATTATCTTTTTTAACTGTAAACCACATGCAGTGGAACTGTTTAAAACTTCCATTGACGTTGAATGAAGGTTATAGGTTCATTTTAACCTGCTGAGACAAAGGTGGTATGACAGAGGCCGATGCTTAAATCATCTGTTTCCCCAGCTGTCAGTTTGCTGGATTGGAAAGTATTTAATTACAGGAGCAATCGTTACTGTAACCGAGTGGCTTTTATATCCGTTTGCAGTACATTTCTGAACCAGTAATTCCACTTTCATCGGGCCTAAGAACTGTTAAATTAAGCTCTGGAAAGGCACACATTTAATTGTAGCCACCAGTTATGTTCTTATAACACAATCAGCAGGATATTTCTTTAAAATTTGTTCTAAATTAAGTTTTATAGAAGGGAAATCTCTTGCACAACTTTTATTATGGTGGTTTACACAGTTTTAACAGCATTACGGATTGGAGAGAGATTGATTGGATTAATTGTGGAAAGCACATTCAAACTACAGTAAAAGTAGGCTACATTTTCTACGTACGAACTACTTACTTCTCTAGGATTCTGCCACGGTGGAATGTAAGTTTTGTACTGCAAAAGGTCCATCAGGTGGCCACATGTGCCTGCAGTGACAAAGTCTTACTAAGTCACTGTCTGTAAGTAAAAGCCTTGATAAAACCTTGATAATGGACAACAGTTACGGTAAGAAATAACATATTTTCAACTTATCTCCCATGTCTCCATTTCCTTCCCAGGGCTCAAACATTGCCTTATTCATCAACTGTTCCATCAGCCTCTCCACTGGGTGTCTCCTCATCCTAATCATAGCTTTCCATTATAAGGACATCAGGGTGAGTTTGGCTTTTCTCATTTCGTATGCAACCGGCGCCTTCATTGTGTTCTAGAATGTGAGTGGTAGCCTTTGAGTGTGCATACACAGATGCATCATTGCCATATTTTGTGCATCACTTTTTGTACCAGTTTTTGTTTGTTCCTAATTAGCTTAGTTATGATGATACATTTTTTGGGAGATACTTAAAGGGCAATTACTTTAGAAGGATCTCTCGGTCCATAGATGGTAGCCTCAACAATCATAATCTGTGTTAAATTTGCAAAATGCGTAAATAACCCGGGACAAAACAAGACAAAAAAGCCCACTCACGCGCATATACTATGTCGCAGCTGGGCTATTTTTCCAATCCACATGGCTCTCAGCCGTTGTGTGTGAACTTGATATACCTGAAGGGATTTGGTTTAAATTGAACAGAGTAAACATTCTTCCATTTGCCCTCATGCACACTCATAGCATGCATATTTAATAAAATGCAGTATGAACAACAAGTTCTGAAATGTTTTGGTCAGGCTTCTGGGTTTATACTCTCAACTACAGTGTTTTCAGTTTCGTTGCAAGTCACATGTGTCTGATACAAGCAAACTTATTGCAAGTGAAAAGAGGAGATAAGGGAGGTCAAGGGTGGAGACACAGGCAATATTTTGCGATGACTGATTTAAATATTGTATTTCAGATGTGACAAACTAAGTCAGCCAAATCATTAAGACCCTTAAAATCAGTGGAGGACAGGAGAAAGTTAACCTGCTTAATATTGATATGCTCTTGACTCAACTGACCACAGTTAAGAAATATATTGACAGAAGAACACATTCTCATTTCTCAAGTATGAAATCATAGAATACAAGTTTCCTTCCGGTTTCTGTTAGATATCTGTGGTTTCATATCTTTGGAGGTTTTAAAACCATTGATCTTCTCACTGAGAAGTTTCTGCAACTCCTGCATGCCACATAATGAAATTAGACATTGGATGTTCTTTTTGAAAAAACACATTAGCATTTTATTTGCTGCAATGACAGAATTATAAAATATATTTAGTCCAAGGTTTAAGGAAACTCTTAGGAAAACGTAAGAAAATAAGAAGTTAAGTTGGTGACAGTGAGACGATATTGAGTGTTACGTACAATATATGGTATACGTTTCAAAGTGAATTCCGTACATTAACATTCAGATGTGCTGTATTCTTACTACTTTCCATCAGCACTCTTGTACTTTTCTTCTCTCACTCTGTCTTTTCTCTCATCCTACATCTTTCAGCTGTTTGTCATTGACCACAACCAGGTGGACTGGCGTATTGCCATGACCAGCCAGAGGGTGCTTGTGATCACTCTGGAGTTGTTGGTCTGCGTCATCCATCCTGTTGGCACATACTGGGAGGTGGGCCTCCACACAAACTCCTCTTCCTCAGCTCCACTCTGTGTTTCCATCCACCATGGCAGGGCCCTGATGGACATGGAGCTGCTGTTATCAGTCCTGATGTTCCTCCGCTTGTACTTGGTGCACAGAGCCATCCTGCTGCACAGCAAAGTGCTGCTGAGCGCCTCCTACAGGAGCATCGGCTCGCTCAACAACATCAACTTCACCTTTCGCTTTGTACTCAAGATACTGATGAACAAATACCCAGCGCGCACCCTGCTGGCCTTCATCCTCTTCTTCTGGCTCACTGCTTCCTGGATGCTTACTCTGTGTGAGAGGTAGGGAAGAGAACTGTATATGTGCAAAGGTACAAGTTTACAAAATATATTCACAAATAAGAGACACTTGCATCAACCCTGGAGATTGTCTGTTAAAATGATGAGGGGCATCCATCAAACATTGTTTTAAATGGGAAAGCCTTCAATTGCCAGTCTACCTTGAAATATAGTTGAATTCTTAAACTAATATAAGTTACAGCTGTAAATTAAAAGAAAGACTGAAGAAGATTGACAGCACTCTCATTTGTTTATGTTATCTTTGAAGCTACAGTCAGAAGATGATTAGCTTAGCTCAGCATACACACTAAAAGCAGGCATAAAGCTAACATGGATGTTTTCCAATGTAGGGCAAAAGGGCCAAATTAAATGAGATTTTACGAGTGGTAATGTGTCAAACTATTTTCTTGCCTGAAGCAGCAACTATAACAGCTTTAACGGATCTGATACAGACTGATACAGATTTGAAAATAGTCTGATGTCAGTGACGAGGAGCTCCGCCTATATGGCCAACTCTCCACCAATCAGGGGAATGAGAGGTTGCCGTGGCATGGTAACAGCATGGTAACAGCATGGTAACATGACGCTCGTAACTCGGCCCCCTCCTTTGCAGCTGCAGCGCATGCAAAGACAGGGTGGAGGAGAGCAAAATAGAGCGAAATGAGGCATGGCTAAAATGCATGATCTGTTTGGTATTTTGAAAAAGAAAACGTATAAATATACCTTATATAGGTATGGCCCTACAATATATTATTCAAATATAGCATGATAGGTCTCCTTTAAACTTCACTTAAAATGTCACCAGCCTGCAACAGTGTCCCTCTAACATATCTGAGTATAATCTTTGCTTGATTGTTTCTAGTTTTATGATAGAGCTGTTCCTACTTAACAAATATTGACTGGACCTAGGTTGAAAAAGTAACAGCGAAAGAATGCCGGATGTTTGCTTTCCCCAATAATCAATGTGGATAATATTAGTTTTGACACTAACACTCCTAACTAGCTGTATTACAGTGAACTGAATTTCTCTGTCAGTTGTCAGGGGCTTTTGTGCTCAATAGTGAATATAGAACATTTGAAATTGTGATTTCTGAAAGATTAGACGTAGCACTCATAATACAGCACACAATCATCCAAAAAGTAAACCGTACCTCCACCAATAATTACTTTATGTTTCTTTCACTGTTACTCTCTAAGGAAATGTAATGTTATTCTCATAGGTGCCTACATACATAAACCCACCGTACAGACTGTTACTATTTTCCAACAAACTTCCCCTCCCCGTCACATACATTAACATTTAAAACAACAACATATTTGACCTTCCTGTTCAGAAGGATGTCCAATTAACTGATCTGATTATCATCCAATTGTATGTTGTTACTCTAACAATTTGCTGTTGAACACAAGCCAACTAAATGTCAACTTTATCCTCCGCAGACTGTTTGAACAGTGAGGTAATTGGTTCTTTTGAACCCTAATGGGAGGTTTAGCCTTCAGTTTCACATGTCTTAGTCTGGTAAGTTTTCATTTATCAAAAGTCATAAAGAGCTTAAGATTGATAGCTGATAAGACCACCAAGCCTTTTTAACACTGAGTTGTTACACCAGTCATGCTGCTCACCACCTCCAGGAGACAGTCGATCCCTCACACACTTTTGTAACATCTTTGTGCGGTTTCTGCTAAGTGTACATTGGACTTGTGCTTTTTATGGATTTACAAGTTTACTGGTACACACTTCCTGACTACCAAAGTACTGTCGAGCATCTGCACTGATTACACAGTTTGATTAACAGACCACACCTTTATTCAACTAAGAAGACTCATTGTGATACAAGGATATGTTTCATTTATTGCTGCAGCTAAGACATAACATCCTATATAACTGCAATCATACAACAGTTCCCAGAAAAGACTAAGTCATTCGAAAATAATTGAAGAGAAATTGATTGATTGTAATGAATCATTTAGTACACTTCCAGTTTCTTTGTTCCAATGTTTTGCCATTATTACCTAAGGAATCTTAAGCAATTTTATAGTAGCTAACATGGAAATATAGAATTTTGTCTAAAAGCAATTTACCAAATGGATAGGGTGGGTGATATCACAATAAAATTATACTTCACTTTTTACTCTCAGGGTTTTTGTCATTCTGTTTGTACTAGTTATCACTTAAATATGTTTGGTTATTTAATACCATTCCTACTTTTTCCATCCTGCAGGCAGACCCAGGTTGCCACAAACACAGGCCAAATGGACACGGCAATGTGGCTCATAGCCATCACCTTCCTCACAGTGGGTTATGGGGATGTGGCGCCCCACACCAGCTGTGGAAAGGCAGTGTGTCTCTTCACTGGAGTCATGGTTAGTGGTTGGGTTGCATCTTGAGAATCATATTATTAAAAATGAGATTTGAGATTGATTATGAAATACAAAGTTTAAAAAAAACAATTGTTGTCAAACTGTGTGCATGTTGAAGTACATAAAGCAAGTGCCGAGGCAATTACTGTATGTGTCATTTCATTTCTAGTACTTGCTTTGACCTCCTAACAGCAGCAGTGGTTTTATTTCAAAATACATTAAATGCTTACTTTGATAAACACAAAGAATAACCTTATCTTTGTTTCCCTTCTGTATGCGTTCTTAACTTAACAAACTCCTTACAAAATGTTTTCTCTGCATGCAAAACCAGCTTGATAAGGCACACAAAACAAGATGTTCTGTAACTGTTCTTCTTCTCCGTTTCTCTTAAATATTCCCCCTACTTTCTTTTTAAATTAGTTTAAGTTCTATTTTTCTCATTTTCCATTGTTTTCTGTTTGATTTGATATAATCTGAATGTTTCTATTCAGTTCTATTCTGTTATGATTAGCTCCGTTTTGTTCCATGCTGTTGTGTTATGTTCCATTCCTCCCCATATTTCATGTTCTGGATTATGCTATAATATTGCCTTCTGTTCCGTTCCATGTTGTTCTGCTCTGTTCTGTTCCACATCACCCTCCCTGGTTTGTTTCATTCCTTTCCGTTTTGGTTCTGTTCCATAGCAGCAACTCATCCTCCTTTTTCCTATTTAGTTTTTCCCATTTGATATCGGGTCAGTTCAGTTTGGTTCACTTTTCTCCTGTGTCTCTAGTGTTCCATCCCAGCCTATTCTGCACTAGTTATCTTGGATACATATACACTTTTTGCCCAGCTACATACCCTAGCGGCGCTGACTGACCTGAATGCCTTCATTCCCTTGTGTGCATGATTTAGATCACAGCTGTATATTAATGGCTGTTGCTTGTGCAGGACCTTGGTGGTACCAGGCACTCACACAAAAAGACTGTGGGAGGGAAACTGTCAGCATGCAGTGGGCCCTGTGCAGTCCACACAAAACATCTGCATGGAGTGTGATGTCATTGTTTTGCTGCCCAAAATGGCTTTTTTCTTCGCCATACCGCACAGATAACTCTGAAAATATTGCTTAATTGTTTATCTCTTAACATAGAATACAATCATTAAAGTAGCCCACAGAGAAAGTATAGAAAAAATGATAGTCCATTCAAATGGTAAGATGAAGAAAAACGTTTTTTTTGGTGACAGTAAGATAATATTGTCATGTTATGGTATTGCAAATAAGAGGAAGGTGAATACTGATAAAAGGAGGAAGGGAGAGTCAGAGATAAAAACACAAAGGGTTGTCAAGTACAATAAACAAAAAGTCACTGAGAGCATGAGTAGCCGTGTGTTTGAATATTCAACAGACTAGGGTTGACTGCCTCACCTCTGCTGCTTTAAATTCTGTTACACACAGATAAGAATCTGGATGTGGGCACGAGTCCAGTTCAGACACCTCCGTGACAGAGTGGAAAACAATCTTTCCCCTCTCTCTTTCTCCATCTCCCTTGTTTTTATAAGCTTCCATCCTTATATGGGAAAACTTTCCACCATATCCATTTTTAGTGTAGTTTATTGCATTTGGCAGCAGTACAACAGGAGGGTGTGCCAACCTGTGCCGTGATTTGGGGAAAAAAGCCCTACTCCCACCAGGGCAGTTTTGGGAGCCAGTGACTGGCGCTCTCACACCTGTAATATAGCTGAACGCCTCTATGCTAGACTCCAGCCATAACTCCATTTCCAGCTGTTTCCAGGGGCTGAAAATGCTGTTTACATCACTGTGTGTGGATGGATGCAAGGAAAGAGTTTGTACCTCCCCGGTTGCAGGGAGGGTGTAATTGTAGATCTTTCGTAGGTGTTGAAGTGATGATAAAAAATAGATTTTAAACCTTTCCTTTCTTTTCTAATTCTTGATCTTGCTCTCTTCTTTTTATTCTCTGTAATGCAAGCTGAAAAAAGGAAAACAGGTAAAGACTTTCATCATTATCCGTGGTGGACATGAAATCATCGCAGCGATTTTTCTAGGTTTTCTATGACGTATTTATGTCTGTGAATATAAAGATCTAAATCCTCACCGTCATTCAGTAGTTCCCTGTACAGTAATAGCACACAGCTATTCTCAGAGGAAACCAGCACTATAACAGTGCCACAGAGGCATGTGCTTAACCATTGAACTCTCTGTGTAAATATAACTATGATTTATTGGACAAAAACCATATGAGGTATGCAGATCAACATTCAGATTTCTAAAAACGTGATGTTCCCATGAGGGTAACACACACGATGTACTGTTTTTAGACAATGTCAGGCTTAAAAACATTGTACAAGTTTCTCTTGAGTGTTGCCTTGTTGATATCACTACAGTCTCCAGGATCAATGGCAAACGCTTACATGTTTATTAAAACTCTGTTGAGAAGATGGATAGTAGATTCATCAGTAATTGTGACGGTGTGTTGTGTTTTAGGGTGTAGCATGCACTGCCATGCTGGTGGCAGTTGTTACCAAGACGCTGGCGTTGAACAAAGGAGAGAAACATGTGCACTTCTTCATGCTGGACTTCCAGATCTCTAAAAGGGTAAGTGAAGTTATACAGCAAATGTGTGTTTAATTGTCATAGTTTATATTTTACATTGCATTGCATTTAGCTGACGCTTTTATCCAAAGCGACTTACAATAAGTGCATTCGACCAAGAAGATACAAACTTGAAGAAAACAGAATCATATAAGTACATCAGGTTTCATAGAGCTAAAACATTTCAAGTGCTACTCAACTGGCTTTAGATAAGCCAGTCCTTTATTAGTATATAAGTGCTTTGTTAATAATTCTATCGCTCGAAGTGGAGTCGAAAGAGATGAGTTTTCAGTCTGCGCCGGAAGATGTGCAAGCTATCTGCTGTCCTGATTTATATGAAGAACAATCACCAATTTCTGAATTATTCTCTGCAACAGTTTCTTGATCACAAATGTGACTTTTGAATGTAAGTACATGGCCAATTTTCACTTGCTGTTTCTTCTTCTTCAGATACCAGTATCTTTCTTTTATGTTTTGGCCCATTTACTACAATGTATGCATATAATTGACTTCCAACTTCAAAGCGTGCTGTCATATTTTAGATTTTTGAATCTATCTTCCCTTTATGTTTCTGTTTAAAAATCAGCTTGCAGAAACTTGAAACGTGTTTAGGTTAGGAAATCCATCACAATGAACACTATTTATTTTTGTCGAGGTCACTGGAACATTGCGTGTTAATGCAACTGTGGTAGTGCAGAATGATTTGAAAAATCTGTTCTGCAAAGCCAGACAACAATAACATAACTCAATAAAAATAAGTAAAACGCTTTGTTATGCTTTGGAAAATGCTCGTCAGTCATTTAAAATGTGTTATTTGCATATAATTGTCTTTAACTTGTACAATCCTGGTGGTTCGATAAAAAACAAAACAACCATGGAGCAGAATTCAAGAATTCTCTGTGGAGAATTTACAATCAAACGTTGGATGAAATAAAACCTAATGACATCACAGGCTCACTTACATCTGTGACAAAAACATAAAGATATGAAGAAAATGTATATCATATGTGAAAACAGGAGCTCTTCAACTTGAAAACAGTAGCACTTATTTTTGTTATAATATTGATCTAATAATTTAACAAACTTCTACTTCTACTGCCCCTCTCCCCTACATCCGAGGTTACTGCAAGACAAATAAGATGAATGACAAAGTATGGAGAAGTCAGGAGGGAAGCATCACTACTTTCCGTGTCGTATAGGCATGTTTTGGTTTTCTAATCTTATTGAATGATTTTTTTTCCTTAAATAAGAGACACCAGAGGACAGAATAGTGTGGGAAAATAGGGGGGGAAACCTAACCCCTTTACAGCATTTTCAAGGCGTGAAACAGAGGAAATCATCTGATCTCTGTCAGGAAAGAAACTTGTGTCAGTTCAGGACTGTGCAGCGATGGGCAGGAAGCCGGTTGAGTTTACGTACGTGTGTGTTTGTGAGTGCGTGTGTGGGTGGAAGTGGCTTGGACAGGATTCAGGATTGCTTACTATTAGGAAGAAGGAGGTGTCTGATAAATAAACACTTGAGGAAACAGTGTCATAAAGCCAGCAAAGTGGCGTAGGACTATACATAATGTGAATTGATTGATATCGTTCCTATCTTAGTGTCAGTTGGTGCTCTGTGTTCAGTACTACAGCTTCTCACCAAACTGTAAGGCAGTGTCGGACTGTAGGTGCACTGCTTCGGAGGATACAACCATTTCCTTTCTCCCACTGGCTGCATCCTGTCACAAGGTGCATCTTTATGCCTTGCTTGCTTGCGTGTGTGTGTGTGTGTGTGTGTGTGTGTGTGTGTGTGTGTGTGTGTGTGTGTGTGTGTGTGTGTGTGTGTGTGTGTGTGTGTGTGTGTGTGTGTGTGTGTGTGTGTGTGTGTGTGTGTGTGTATGAGTGTGTATGAGTGTGTATGAGTGTGTGCATCCTGAGCTATCTGGTGAAGTCCAGATTTACGCTGATGGGAACAAGGGAAGACATCTGGATGCAGACACTGACAGCCCCTATTAATAACCCTCACAACAGGGCCCGAGTGACATCAGCACAGGGCACTAACGGTGATTTGGGCAGGAAGACAAACAGACGTGAATAGAATCAAAGAGAAAGGTGCAAAAAGGTGAAACCTCACTTCTTGTCTCTTGAGTGGCCTGTTCAAATTCTTGTATTCAAGCTTTTTTTTGGAATACAAGAACTTCAAAGTTGTGTTTTATCTGAAATAATAATCATAGTGCAATTCAACTCAACAGGAAAGACTATCTGGATTGAATCAGCTGCCTCAGATGACTCATACTTTTACTTCCTGTGCTTAAATGATTGATATGAACCAGATTCTGATGTAGAAAAAAACACAATAAGCACCGTGTGTTGATTTCAATCAAGCTTGCAAGTTTAAGTGACTTTACCTTGATGGTCTTATAACCCTGTTTGATGTTTCTGTCTCTTCACCAGATCCGCCACGCAGCTGCTAACGTGCTGAGGGAATGCTGGCTTCTGCACCGCGCAAACCTGACAAAGGGCAACCGTGGTGAGCACCGAAGACACCAGAGATGCCTTCTGGAAGCCATCAGAGTGTGAGTTACTGTATTGCAAGGAGAAGTAGCTCCAGGCAGGATGTCTGGGTGTGTGTCTGGGCGAGAAATGTAAGTTAGTGGTGGGTTGGGTATATCACGGGTCATTAACTGGTGCTTTCTCACAGAGTCACAATTTGTAATGTGTTATTCAGATTAATAATTAGATTTGTTGGCCTCATGAGGGCAGGGCATGTGTGATCAAGGGACGGGTGCAGAGATGGGGTCGTTACTAAAAAAAAGTAATATATTACATATTACTTTAAAAAAAAGTGATATATTACACTACTTCGTTACTCTCTACATAAAGTAACTCGTTACTTTACTCGTTACTTTACTCGCAGGGCCGGCCCGCCCCTCCCTGCAGGCAGATCACGCTGACTGCTAAAGTTTCAAATGTTCTCTTTAGTTCAGTTTCCATTGTCGCATAAGACTGATCCAGATAGCTCCTGAATGTTTTCCTATCTGACCGTGGCTGCTGTCCTCTGTCTCTTGCTATCTGTATATTTTGCGCAGTCTATATCTGCTCACGCTGTTGCGTCGGCGTGTTCTCCTGCGTGTTGGCCATGTGTTGCACTGGAACACACCGCCAAGACTTCAGCCGAGCACGTACAAACTGCGCATGCGTGAGTGGCAATAACTCTCCTTACCAGCAGGTGGCGGTAGTGTGTATTCATCATTCAAAACAGGCAACAACCGGAAAACAGAGCAGAAGAACAGACTACGTGATATAAACAAACAACAAATAGCTGTGCGTTAGCTTCACCTTAGCATGTTCTTTGCAGGTGTTTGTTGAGGTTTGATTATGACTGATTTTAGTAAGTAACGAAGTAACGCGTGTCGGGGCAATGTTAGTAACTGTAGTGTGATTACTGAATTATTAAAGTAGCGCGTTACTTTGTAACGCGTTACTCTGGACGGGTGCACCCTTCTAATATACAGGTTTCAAGGCAAGCTTTGTAGACATGCTGACCAATAACTGACTAATACAAATGTTTACGTTTTACTTACATTGTTATTTACTATTTAAAGTGATGTACACAACCTTCCGAGACACTTATTGAGAGATTTAAAATGAGGAGATGTCATTATTTGCACACAGTTGTGTCTTTTGGTTACCTCTAAGAACAAGTGCAGGAAGTCCACAAGTGTGATTGTATGCCTCATTATCCTGACAACAGTGTGTAAGTGTGTGTTTGCCTAGAAGGGAAAGGGTTGTACTTCCTGCTTAAAACCGGGCAGAGTTACTATAAATAAATACACTGTGGAAAGTAGGAGTGTTAGGCATCCACATTTTTAAATTAAGAACATCATAATGAGACAATTACTCCAATACCTGCAGAGAATGACTGCTTGGTTGCAATATTGGTTTCCATTTTTCTTTTTTTGGTGGGGTTTTGTCCATCCCAGACACGCCAGATACTAAATTTAGCCCTTTTCCACCTTTATATGTCAAAAAAAACTCCCAGCAAATGTTTTATAGCTATTTAACAATCACAGCATGACTCCTGCATGTTGTTGGGAGGTTTAATACACAGTTGTCAGCATATTCCTCTGCTCCACAAATCAGGGGTGTTGTGTTGTGCCAGGACTTTTCTGTTTGTCCAAAAATAGGGAAGTTCCCTCTGTAGGTGCGCACGTCAGAACTCATTGGAGCTTTTATCTCAGCTAGTTGTATCATATTGGCTTCTGTTTAATCTATACATACATCTTCCTGCACTACAACATGAAATTACTCTCAACTGTTTTACTTTTCTGTGTTTCAATGAAACATTTAATACATTTATATAATTTCATTTCCATTATTTTTCAAACACATGACAGATCTATCAACCTTTCTTTCTGCACAGATTTCGGCATTTACGGCTGAAACGAAAAAAGCTGAGGGATTACGTCAGCGAGATGGTGGACCTCCCGAAGGTAATCGACTGCTGTCACAGGAATGTTTTATCAAAAGGGCTAATGATGACAAATATCCCCATAAAACACTCACTACTTACATTTATGCAGTATTTTGCAATCTGCTGTTTATTGCTAGATGTTCAGACACATTAAATGCTCGTTAAAAAGAACTATATAAAATGTCTCAGGAGTCATTTGTGTCAGGAATTCACAGGCCCAGAAGACTTTTCCATGTGGAATAAACCCAAGATTTAAAGATGTTGCCCAGTGAGCACTAATGTTTAATTTGTGCACTTTAAAATGCATTTCCTGATTGATTCATATGATATATTGTTTTTCCAGATTAAGTGCAGCCTTTGTAACCAGATTTGTTGATGTTGGCGTCTTTTTCTTAAACCCAAGTTTCTTAAGGAAGTGTCAAATGGAGTCTCACACTTTCTAAGTTGGCAGCACTGGGATGGTTTCAAGTCTGACACTATTGGTCTAAGCTTCCCTATAAATATACAACGTTCATTTAAAATGTGTCTCTACACAATATTCGATTTATGGCTGTAGTTCAAGAATCTTTCAATCTGTTCTGTGTGGCCATTTTTAATAGATGCAGATGATCATGTGCGACCTCAGTGCCAATTGGAATAACTCGTACCGGGAGCTGGAGCAGCGGATCCTCTCCATGGAGCAGAAGCTGGACGAGCTGAGTCGCTGCTTCCAGCAAACCTCAGAGATGTTGTCTCATGTCCTACGCCACCGCAACACAGAGATCAGGTAAACAACACTAACAGGAGAGCTGCCAGCGACGTGGAACTGATCTGCTACCAACAAAGTGTATGGTGTGCTGCATAATGAAAACTATTAGTATCATTTTTTTTTTTTGCAGGTGACGTTTCAACAAACAATTATATCGGAAGACAGTATATCGTCATATCAGTGTTTTCATCTACAGTATACATGAAAGTGAGACAGTGACTCCTCTCCACCTGGAGCTGCTCCAGACTCTTAACTTACTGAACAACTTGGAAGACTACTTTCTAACCATCTCATCTTCTGGCCCTGAGCTGAGTGCACAGCACAATGAGTCTGTACAATTATACAGATTAAAATAGGACTTCCATTCACTGTGGGAGAATCACAGTGCATTTTTATAAATCTGTTGTTTTCAGCTGTTATATGTGTGACAGTGTACAAAGAACTGAGTTAATCTCAAACAAGGACTGTGGAGAGCCTTCACAGAGCCTGTTCTCTTAACTGCTATTTGTAAAGTTTCAATGATAGACTCCGTCACTGCCTTATTCCTGTGGAATAAGATACTTTTTCTTTTTTGTTAATTTTATTCTAAGTTTCTTGCAATGTTTTACAATGTAAGCCTACTCAGTTTTGTAAAGAAATCTCTGGCAGGTCCTCTTGTATTAGCCGACAGTTTCATGATTAAATATTGTTTGCAGGTTATTTTAATATCTCTTCCAATCCGTATTGTTCTGCTTTCTTCTAACCCCCTCAAATGGTCTGTGAATTAAATGGTATGCTCAAACAAGAGAAGAAACTTCAATCAAGGATTGTGGGAACTTTATTTCAATCTGAAAATCATTGGGCCTTAAACAGTAAAATTCTTGCATGAATGTGTATGTTTTGTGTTGTAATCATGATGCAGGAAAAACATGCTCTGAGAGTGAGTTGCCTTCAGTACCCCACCAGCTCCATCTAGTGGATATTATTACAGTAAATATGGATAATACTGAGAACAGTTGACATGAAGATTATATAACAACCATAAAAAAGGTCAAATGCTATTTTCAACCTGAATAACAAGGCCTGTACAATGTCTCACACATGTGAATGATCTGCAGTGAAAACAAATCAAGAGGACTCAGAAACTCACTGGTAAATGTGAAACTTCATGAAAAAAATTAAAATAGCAAAACTGGATGAACTCTCTCTCCAGAGTATAAATTGGAGTGTTTTCATTTAACCCAATACTGACAAAGTGCATTGTGGGTTAATTTGTACTGGTGAATGGTCAAAATAACTTGTAAATTGTTTACTATGTATCATTTGCACATGGTGAAAACATGTTAACAACCATCCAGGACATGCTTATAAATAAAAGCCATTACAAATGTATGTGAGTTTGCTTTGATTTTGTCTTAAAAAGATACATCCCTTTTGATTCAACACTGTTGTTCTAAAGTGTTGTGCAGAAATCTGGAAAGGAGTAAGTTGATCAAAGCAATGGAGGAACCAGGGATGTGTCTGCTTCGTCATTTCACCGGCTACTTTAATCGTTTAGCTTTTCTCCTGTTTTTAATCTGGTGCCATATGTAAGCTGAAGGCCTAAAAAAGAGCTGTCCGCAGTCACATGTAAAAGGCAGTCTGCACTTTTTCTTAACTTTACATTTCCGAGTCCGTCCAGAACGGTGACTCTTCTGAGACTTGCCCTTCATGTGCTCAGCTAAGAGTTTGGCCCCTGTGAAAGTGTCCCCGCAGCCGACACAGATGTAGCTCACGGTCTCCGCGTGCTGAACGCAGTGCCGCAGCAGGTGCAGCCGGTGCTTGAAGGCTCGGCCGCAGGGGCACCGGTGTGAGCGTGGGCCTCTGTGGAGGTAGCGGTGGCTAATGATGAAGGAGGGCTGCCGCAAGATGGCCCCACACTGCCTGCAGGGGTAGGAGGCCTTGGAGCGCCAGCCCTTGGTCATACGTTTCTTCAAAGCTATGTCCTGGCTGTTGTTCTTAAAAAGGCCCACAATGGTGGTCGATGGTGGGCTGACAGGGTGGGAAGCAGCAGTGGCACCCGATGGGACAAACACATGTGTAGACAGAGGTTTACCTATGCTAGAGGAGGAGGTCAACAAAGAGGAAGGAATAGCGTAGAGAAAACCAGCCCGGGTCTGTACATCACAGAATTTCCCATTCACCTGGTGGACAGCATGTTGACTACTTATGGCTTGCGTGCCACCTAGTGAAACCTTTTTATCTGTCAACGCTGATGCATCAGTTATAATGCACACCTTGGTGCTGACCACTGATGTGTGAACTCTGGTGATGTGGTTTAACAGGCTCTCCTCAGATCTAAAAAAGGATTTGCATATCTTACACACTTGCGGCATTGAATCGACACAAAAGAGGAGTAGATCCAATTTGGTTTCCTTGGGACACTGGAAATGCTGTAAGGAGTTCTCGTGGGGGAAAACTTGGCCACAGACTCCACAGGAATACAAAGGCATGTGGTGTTCTTTAAAATAAGCCTCACTTGTACAAAGCTTCTTGCAAACTGTACACGGATATTGTACCTTTATACCACTACAGTGCAGCAAATGGAGCTTCATTGAACGGTATGGCCCTCTACCACATGCCTCACACATGGATTTGGAGTCCAGACTATGAGAAGAGCCACTAGAACAATCAGTAGAACTTGAATCACCATCTGACTCGAGATCCTCTGGACACAACTCTGAAGGATTAAAGTGTGTCTTCACTTCTTCATCAGATGCAGTGCTTGATGAATCCTCTGCTTTCTCGCAATCTATTTCAATGTTTTCATCATCTTCAACCATTGTATACTCTATACTGTTTTCATGTTTCCCAGCCATCTCAGGTTTCATCTCAATTCGTTGTTTGGACCTCGACTTTGACAGTGAGTCCAACAGCCCTAACTTTGTGATTTGCTGTGCAGTCTCGTTGTTAGGAAAGTTGTCACTATTCTGACTCGGATGTATGACCGAAGAAATCAAAGAGGGAGTTTTTTTAAATCCCAAGCAGCTAGCCTCTGCATGTGTGTTCAATTCCCACACAGAACTGAAACCCTCATGACACTTTTCGCAGCGGGCTGGCAAGTGAACATTATCCAGGTGCATGGAGAGTGATGTCAAGCGTCGGAAATTAACCTTGCAGATGTGGCAGGTGGCTTTGTTGTTGTGGCTTTTGTAGTGGGAGATCAACGTAGTCAATTCACTAAATTGTTTGCCACATTCCCAACATTTTTCCTTTGTTTTTGAATCATCCCACTCCATCCTTCCTCGCTGCTCGAGTCTTCAGACATGAGGAACTGGTCGAGGATAACTTCTAGGTGGTCTGCAAAATCAGAAAGGAAAGAAGTGCTTAAAAAAGAAGTTTGGGAAAGACTCCTATAGGCATTACAGTAGACAGGATTTTTTGTATTATTATTAATAATTATCATTATTAAGTAATTTATTTAGATAAAGATGAAGCCAAATGTCAGCTATTCAATGTGTGTCAAAGAGCTGAAAGAACTATATAAAAAGAGTACAGCCTCATTGAGATGCTAGCATGTGGAAGGCTGTGGATTCTCTTATGGCATTGTCTTTGTGTTATGCTGTTATATCATTGAAATGATTAATCATTTTAAAGTAAAACACAAAAAGGAATTTCAAGAGGTGCTAAAAGTTTTACATGTATACAATTGTCTCACTGTTAAACATAAATGATTACATCCAAAAAACGAATTATAAACTAACTATAACAACAAGTGAATACATTCATTATTAGGTGCTTCAGTTCTAGTGTGTGTAACTTTTTAGTCTTGTATGACTTCCGAACAATGCCCGATTTATCACATATGTAAAAATAAAACTCAGTATATTACCCCTGTACAGTAAGTGGTAACATTATTTACCTCCGTCCGCAAGTGTTGGACCAAACAATGCCGCCTGCAGCCCAGTGCACATTTGAAATAGTTTCATAAATCCAAAAAAAGAAGGTAACGGTTGGTCAAAGACAGTGCACGTATCTTATCAAATGTAAAAAAATCGAGCGATAACGTCAACTTGTATGTAATAGTTGAGATCCTGTCTCAAGCTCATCCAGATGTACAGGCGGGGATAATACAAATACGTTTAGAGTACATTGCAAAAAATAATAATTCTTAAAATTCAACATTTGAAGACATCCGAAATATTGTTGATGGCGTCCTCACCAAACTCCTCAATCCATATCCGGCTAAAACCGGAAGAGGGGCGGCTCTACCTCCCAGAATGCACCAAACGTTTTGTTCAAATATTTCTCCAAACTTCGGGGAATTATTACTTTACATATCTTGAGCAAAAACGTGATGACTAGATTACCTCAAATATATTTTAGACTTTTTTAAAAATGGGTGTCAAACGTTTATTTTAAATTGGAGCAACGCTACTATTGTTTTCTTACATACATATATTTCTGAATGCATTACGGTTAAACAAGAACAATGTAATGTCCTATCATGTATATGTATAATGAAATAAAACGAGGTTGCACTGGGTTATATGTTAAAATAATCCCTAAAGTGGCGGAACTACGTTTCATAACGATGTTTCATCACGACTTCATTTATCAGACGGACAAGGTGCGTTTGTTTGGTAGCAAACATGATTCTAGACGGGTGGAGTTTATCTCAGCACGTTGACAATCAAGAACCGGCCAACGCCGAATATTTAAACCAAGCGCAGTAGTGAAACGCTAATGTAAACCATAAACAAGTGTTCTGAATTGAGCTTTAACGATGTCATCTAATAGATGACATCTATTCACGTCTTCAAACATATATTCCAGTTATTGTCAAACGATTGGTAGCTAACAGCAGATTTGTAATTTGTTTTCACTAAAATCGTATTGTTTGCTCGCCTGTGCTTGGACTGGGTTCCCACCGTTAGCCACCGTTTGTATCAGTTGTGATAGTGAACCAGGGGAGCAGCGACATGTCGGAGTCCGGCCACAGTCAGCCCGGGATGTACGGGCAGGGCCGCCGGAGGAGGCGCCGCCGCGGAGACAGAGATGTTGGAGCTCCGGGACAAAACCTGTCCGGTCCAAGTCGGGATCGAGAATATCAACCAAGGGAACGAAGAGTAGGCAGCATGTGATAAACACTGCAGACCGCTGGTGTAACTGTTGGACTTCAGAATAGTGATTCACTTTAATTTATCTTTTCAGGATGGGAGCGAGGATCCACCAGGCCCACTCATTCAGAAGACCCCCATCATTCTTGCAAAACCCCCCGGGGAAAGGGTACGTTAGCTTTTTTTTTTTTTTTTTAAATAAAATGCTCTTATTGTTATTATCCTTCTTGAACACAGACAGTAGGACACACCATAACTAAATCAGCACGTTTTACTTTGTCTGACTAGTACTTTGCACGCAGGATTGTCAGCTTGAAGAAGAATATGCAGAGTGACTGTGAAATGTGAAATCAAACATCATGTTATTGAATTTGAGATGGATAAAACAAGTACTTTTACTTTGATTCATTTCGCAGACATGTACTGTGTATACAAGGCAATGTAAGGTATAAACACAAATGTAATACAAAGCAAATGAGTCACAGTTAAAAAGTAAATAATGACAAAATACAAGTTGTATGTATGAAGGTCTTCTGCCTTTCAGGTCATGCCATCAATTTACTTTTGTTGTTATTGTTGTGGGATCCTTTCAAGGCAAAGCCATCACAGAATACGCCTGTCAGCGGAGCTCCTGTCCTGGAGAAGCCCATCATGCTCATGAAAGCCAGGGACGATGGAGGGAAGCCGGGCACTCCTCCTGAAGCAGCTGCCCAGCTCACTGGTCCGGGACCCTCCAAGATGGAGAGGGAGGGGCAGCGACCCACCCAGCCTGTGTACCAGATCCAAAACAGAGGAATGGGTGCTTCTGCAACGAGCAGCGCTGTGGACCGTGAGCTTTTGTAGATTTCACAAAAATAAAAAATGTCCTCCTGGAGATGTTGGCTGAGAATAAAAAAGTAGATCTTGAATATTTTATTTGACTTTCAGCTATGGTGGGCCAGTCTAAACTCCTCCCTCCGGAGAAGATGAAGCACAGCATTAAGCTTGTGGATGATCAGATGAATTGGTGTGACAGTGCCATGGAGGTGAGTTGTGTAATTAATTAATTAATTTAGTTGATTGCGGAGCCATTTTATTAAATAATGTAATACTAATGTAAATATATGATGGTGTATGAACTCAAAGGATGTTGTGTTGTAGTATCTGAGGGACCAGACAGATATGTTGGTGGTGGGAGTCATCGGCCTGCAGGGAAGTGGGAAATCTACGATCATGTCGCTATTATCTGCCAACACTCCTGAGGAAGATCAAAGGTGAGGTTTTTTGTAACACCAACAATGAGCTCAAGCTTGTTCATGTGAAAATGATATATTAATTTAAAGTTGAAACGGATACTTCTTTAACTTTTCCAAGTAGTATTATTAATGCTGCTGTTACAGTAAAGACCCCCTGATCGCATTTCACTTTCCTGATATAAGGAACTACAACACACTGTTTAAATGAAGAAGATGGACCTTTAATGATCCCCGAAGAAGACATTCAGTTTTCCACTCTGTTATACACCTGCATTTTTTGTTACACACACACACACACACACACACACACACACAACACACACACACACACACACACAACACACACAACACACACCACACACACACACACACACAACACACACACACACACACACACACACACACACACACACACACACACACACATGCATTTATACACATAAACCCCAAGTGCCAGACCAACCTTCTGGAAAGATAGCATGTTGACACCAGTGACCCCACGAGTTAAGTATATCAAAAAAGGAATTTCAGTGCTTTGAGAATATGTTTGGGGTTTAATACAAATATATGCTTAATATAGGATTTATTAACTTTTCATATACTTCAGTTGGAGCCGAAGCAGCTTATGCTTACCCATCCACAATTTAAATAATATAAACAGACTAAAAACGAACACAAATCAGTAGTAAGAGATTGATATTTACATCTTTATTCTTCCCATTATAACTTCGTATTTTAAAGCTGTACTTACAAAGTGAAGTTACTCTTTGTGAACACACAGGGGCGATATATACAAGCCCATCTGCCTGTTGAGAGTCAAGTGGAGTGTTCAAGCTAATCGTTTTGTTTGAAAATCAGTTCAGTGTTTGGCACTATACTAAGTCCACAGACCAGATAACCATGCAATCAAATACTATCTGTTTGAAAGAAAAGTAGAAGTAGTAACCAAAACATTTATTCAGACCTTTACAGCCAATGTATGTATTTGTTTATTGCAGTTGTTATCCATTCTGTTCTTTAGGATTAACAAATGCAATGATGTAGTGTGATTTATGTTTGTTTGCACAGGGGTTATGTATTCAGAGCCCAGACTCAAGAAATCAAGGAAAGAGGAGGAAACCAGAGCACAGGCATCGATTTCTTTATCACACAGGAGAGAGTCATCTTCTTGGATACACAGGTATAAATGAATTGATTTGGATCAGTGGATTTTTCTCTTTGCTGTCTGAGTGTTAGCAAATCCTGTGTAAATTGAAATGTAACCTTGGAATTCAAAGAAGTTGAAGCAAAAAACCTGTTAAAAACGGTTTTGGTTGATGATTGATGGGGTGTGTTTGAATTCTTCCTTTGTTCCTTCAGCCAATGCTCAGCCCATCGATTCTCGACCACCTTATCAACAACGATCGGAAGCTGCCCCCGGAGTACAACCTCCCCCACACATATGTTGAGATGCAGGTCAGTGGCTGGCCTGCAGATGGCATTGGGTTAACCTGTTAAGCCCTGGAGCCCCCCCACAGGGGGGCCCCCCAACGTTTTTTTTCGAGACTGTGTCTCAGGGCTTCTTAACATTTATGAAACTATTAATGTGTAGCACCAGATTAACGGGAAGAATCTCAGCTAACTGAAGATATGAACCATTTTTACCAAAACAAAACACAAGTCTCATAAGAAGCGTCTAAATGACCCCTGAGCGAAAAAGGGGTTGTTTAGTTTCCATTTTAATTATTTTTCACTAGTGCTGTCAAAATTATCGCGTTAACGGCGGTAATACATTTTTTGAATTAATTGCGTTAAAATATTTAACGCATTTAACGCATGTGCAGAATGGCCCGCCCCATACGTGCCACCAGTGGCAGCGCCAGGGTATGGCTGGGGTAGGCTACACCCATACCAAGAAATGGCTTAGCCCCACCATGAAAAATGATGTTAAAGTAAGCAAAATGAAGTCTGCCAACTCGCGCGGAGTAAATTGCACAGACAGCAGTTAGTAAGATTGATTTCAGTAGCCACGGTTTTGAAAACTTTTGTCACGTAGTGATCGTCTTCTCAATAGAACATCTTTGATAACGGCGTGGTGTTGTTGCAGGAAGTCCCGACGGAGAATACTTTTGCTGTAGTACAGGGGTGCACATAACTGGTACGCAGGTTTTGTGCGTAATCTCTCTGAAATGCGTACCGTCACTTGTGTCACAAAGCGCATTTGCGTACCGACGTACTTGTGAAGCTTTTCCAGAAGGCGGTTAGATCACCGGACGACAGAGTCGGTCTCCGTGTGCACAGACAGGGCTGCTGTTAACGTCGGTCTGTACAACGGAATTGTGCCAAAACTACGCCAACCGGCTGCGGAGGGAGACTCCCCCCTTCACTGGAGAACTGCGCTAAAACAACTGATCACAACGTTCACACTCTGTGGTCACGAAGTACTCCACTAGCGCGCCCCCCCCCCCCCCCTCTGTCGACTTTCCTGAAGTACTCCCCCGTTGATAGAAATCCACACGTAATGTTTTAAGACCCCACGGTTTGATGATTGATAGGTGTGTGGGTTGTCTTTCATTTTGACACGCAGAAAAATGTTATAATAAACATAGATACTGTATGTTAAATGGATATATCCGCCTTCTTTCATTTATCTTTCCATTCCCACAACAATATACATAAATAAATGGCATATTTTGGACATAGTTCGAATGGTGATTAATCATGATTAATTAATTTTTAAGCTCTGATTAATCTGATTAAAAATGTTAATCGTTTGACAGCCCTATTTTTCACACATCACATTATTTTATCATTATCTAAAATGATCATGGTTTGATTTTGGAGTCGGTAGAATACACGTTGTAGACCGAGACTTCTCTGCAGCTCCGGCATACTTCAGTCCGATG